AGAAAAGGAGGTGCAATATATGAACAACTTTCAAGGGCAACGAAACAATTTTCAAGATGAAAACAATCAAGGGAATTGGCATAACAAAAACAATCATAAAAATTGGAGTGACAACAATCAAGGTAATTGGAGGGGGTAGTAACAATCAAGGCAGATGAAATAATAATCAAGGCAATCGGGGGTCAGGTTTTCAAAGGCCCCCGATGTATTAACAACCGAGCAACCTGCCTCCTTATCCTTCCCATGGTACAAGTTCTTCTAACAATGAAATGGGACATATTGAGAATATGTTCAAGCAAATGATGGAAAAGAATGCCTATTCGGATGCCCAACTTGCCTCACACAACACATCAATCCGCAACTTAAAAGTTCAAATGGGGCAAATCTCTCAAGCTCTAAATTCTCATCCTAAGAGAGCACTACCAAGTGATACGGTGGTGAACCCAAAGGGTGAGAACAACACGGGACATGCCATGGTCGTTACTACAAGAAGTGGAAGAGGTGGGAATGCACCCACCTCGAGTCAAAAGCAACTTGTGGATGATGAGAAAGTAGTACAGAAAGAAGAGGTATCGAACAATGTAATGCAATCAAATGATGAAATTCGGATTGATATTGATGATGATGTTGAAGAGACTCAAAAGGAGGTGAACCCGTCTAGAGATCACATTATTGACATACCGAAGTCAGTATTGCAAAAGGCGAAGACACCATTGCCTAAGCCTCCACCTCAATACCCTTAAGGACTTGCCAAGCAAAATGGTGAAAACCAATTCAAGAAGTTCATTCAAATGATGAAGAGTCTCTTAATTAATGTGCCATTGGTTGAAGTTTTAGAAGAAATGCCCAGTTATACAAAGTTTATGAAGGATCTTGTGACAAAGAAGCGGTCAATAAATTTTGAAACTATCAAAGTCATTCATCAAGTGAGTGCAATTGTGCAATCAATGGTTCCCAAGTTGGAGGATCCTGGTGCTTTCACGATTCCTTGTACAATTGGAAGTGTCGAGTTTTCTAAAGCCCTTTATAATCTTGGGGCAAGTATCAATTTGATGCCTTATTCGTTTTTCAAGACTTTGGAAATTAGACAACCAAGACCCACCTCTACGAGATTGCAAATGGCCGATCGTACCATGAAGAAACCTTTGGGAGTGATTGAAGATGTTTTGGTTCGTGCTGATAAATTCATTCCTCCGACGGATTTTGTCATTCTTGATTGTGAAGTTGATTATGAAGTGCCGATTATTCTTGGAAGATCTTTTCTTGCTACGGGGAAGGCTCTTTGTGATGTGGAAGACAGAGAACTCACCTTTCGGGTGGGTGATGAACAAGTGGTTTTCCATGTGTGTAAATCCATGCGGCAACCAAATAACAATGAATTGTGCTCTTTTGTGGACTTGGTGACCGATGTTATTGTAGATAATACAAGTGCCACAATCAATGTTGATGATATGTTGAAGGTCGTCTTGCTCAACTTTGATGATGACGAGATGGATGGCTTCATGGAATATGTGAACTCTTTTCAAGGAATGGGGTCGTACAATTATGCACCCCAGAAACTATATTTGGATCTTGAAAATAGGACAACTCTTCCTATAAAACCTTCCATTGAAGAGCCTCCTTCCCTGGAGTTGAAGTCATTGTCTGCACATCTTCGGTATGAATTTCTTGGCCCATCTTCTACTTACCAGTTATTCTTCCTCTTGTTTGACTAAAGTGCATGTGGATTCTACATTGGTGGGGCTACAAAAGAGGAAGAAGGCTATTGGGTGGATGCTGGTGGATATTCGGGGGATAAGCCCAGCATTTTGCAGGCATAAGATCAACTTGGAGGAAGGCGCCAAACCATCTATTGAACATCAAAGGAGACTCAATGAGGCTATACAATAAGTAGTCAAAAAGGAGCTTATCAAGTGGTTGGATACCGGGGTTGTCTACCTCATTTATGATAGTTCGTGGACTTCTCCGGTTTAATGTGTCCCAGAGAAGGGGGCATGACGGCGGTCACCAATGATAAGAATGAGTTGATTCCTACAAGAACGGTGATCGGTTGGAAAGTGTGTATGGACTATCGCAAGCTCAACAAAGTCATAAGCAATGATCACTTTCCACTTTCTTTCTTAGACCAAATGCTTGATAGGTTGGCCGGCTGTGCTTTCTATTGCTTTTTTATGGGTATTCGGGTTACAACTAAAGCCTTATTGCTCTGGAGGATCAAGAGAAAACAACTTTTACATGTCCCTGTGGTACTTTTGCCTTCAAGCGGATGCCATTTGGTTTGTGTAATGCCTCGGCGACTTTTGAAAAGTGTATGATGTCTATCTTCGCGGACATGGTGGAGGAGCAGCTAGCAGCAAACAGCAAAATTGGTCTATGCTTAAAGGGCGATTGATATGTGTGCAGGCCCATTTTGATCCGGACCATCAGTTCAGTTGTAGTTTGTCCAAATAGAGAGGGCCTGATCAAAACACTTATTTCAATGGGCCTAATCAGTAAGTGGGACTGAAACAACAATAAATTGGCAAAGATAGACCAAATTCCCAAAGAACTTCAAGGAATAAGTTCAAATGAACCTTATTGTATAGTACAAGTTATATGATATGATATGATATGATGTACTATTAAGCATTACATTTGATGCTGCAATCTTCTGCATAAAGTTCAGAGACCACATGGTTGAGCACTTGAGCTTTATACTAAAGATTATGATCATTCAGTAAAAGTAATAGCCTCAAAAGAAAATCATCAACTAGTTGCCAAAGCCAGTAACATATACTACTATAGTATAACATTGACATTGTTTTAGAGAGAAAGTAGTATAAAATAAGTCAAAAGTTTACTTAAAAATTAAAGTACTTGAGAATTGTGTTTCCACAAAACGTGGGATCTCTTGTTCAAAAGTAATATAGAGATGGATTAAATATACTTTTACCCCTTAAATTCACATTTCCTTGCTTTTCAAATTGAATATAGCGACTCTAGTCTTAAACTAAATTAGTCCTCTCTTGTATAGCTTATAGTATAATCTAAGCGCAAAGAAAAACAGACTCCGAGTGATATTTAAAGTTTTAAATCATGTATTATTTAGGTGTACATTGAAATTATAATAGGTCTATTTTTATCTTATATAAATGGAAGCAGACATCATATTTTGAAAATTTAGTGTGTATAAACAATAATCCGTCTGCAACCACAATTTATTTAAATTTATAAACACAAAATTGATAAAGACGACTTCAAAAATTACAAGAAAATAAGTTTTACAGAGAACAACAATAACATATTCAGTATTATTTCATATCGTAGGGTCTAAAAAAAAAATAGTGTGTACGCAGACCTTATCCCTGTCTTACCAGAAAGTTAAGTCTTACAGAGAACGAAAGTGTTATGATTCATTTAAAGACAGTTCCAAGTTAGGGAGCATTTTGGCACCTTTGTGCTGTTCTTGCCTCTTCTTTTTCTATCCAATACTCATTTTGTGGAGAAAACATGAAAGATACTGTAGTACTACTAGTCTACAACTACTACAAAAAGAGAAAATATAATAAAATAAATAAAAAAGGCTGTAGTGTTTACTTTCTCAATCTAAATCCAGCTAACGTGGAACCCGCATTGCTGTGCTAAAGTCCAATCTCCACCGCCAAATCATCAAAAGCTGCCGCCCTCAATCGCACTTTCCACGACACGTGTCCCCCACCCATCCCCTAGTCGGTGATCCCACCCTATTGATCAATATCGTACCCTTTTCAAATTTCAAACTCAAGAATTTATCGTATTATTTGATGATGTTTTACTTGGGAAAAGACAAAGATTATTTTACTTGACTTAAACTTTAATACACTAATAAGTTTATATTATTAATAGTAAGAAAATATCATATCAAAATTAAATTTTATGCATTTTAAATTCAAAGATATTGTTGTGTGACACGGAATGTATACGCTAAGGATCGTTTGGTAGGATTCACAAGAATAATGCTGAATAAAGTATATTAGTAATGCATAAGTTAGTAATGTAATATTAATTATGCAGAGATTATTTCTTATCCCTTATTTAGTGTCGTGTATTAAAAATAAAATGCATGCATAATTTTAAAGAAAATTAGTTGATTACAAAAATGTCCTCCGTATTCTTTAGCATTAATGGATTTTAAGAATAATTTTATCTTTATCATGCTAATGCATGCATTAATAGCCTTGGTATTGTTAGTATCATGATTTGCTATGCATTAGCTATACATAGGATAATACCAAATATGGTATATAACTAATGCTTGTATTAGTTATACATAGATTGAAAAAAATATACCAAACAAGGTACTATTAATACACAAAGTTAAGGCATACATTATTTTCTCTAATGCACTCTACCAAACTACCTCTAACTATATAAAAGACATAATTTTATTTTTATCAAAATAAAGAGACAGCATTAAGAAACAAAATTTCATTTTATATTTAAAATGTACCATAAAAAGGTCGATAAATTTGTGGTTCTTATAATTTAGAAGAAAGTAATCAAAAGCATATTATTAATTTTTATTGCTGATAAAAAGCTTTCTGTCTTTCCAGCTAAAAATGTTGCTCGGACTCAATTTTAACAATTTTACGCCTCATCTTTTAATTACAGGCTTTATTCCACCAACTAGTATTAGCATCCGCGCAGATGCGCAAATAGTGACCATATTAAATATTTGAGTTATTTGAATTATACGTAAAAAATCTTAAAATTTAAACCTTCTCATATCAACTATATATATATATATATAATACTGACCATATATATATATATTTGACTAACATAGTCAAATATAAAATAAAGTTACCATATACTATTGATATTTATTAGTTTGACACTTGACTTAACTACATAATCAATTATTTATGGCAACTTTATAGCTTTATATATATATATATATATATATATATAGATAATCATCTCATATCAAAATTATGTAACTAGATTTAGGTTCGGAATACGAGCCTGAGGTTCGGGCATACCTCGTTCGCTTCACCGTTTCAAAACATAAATATCAAATTCTCCTCACAATTTTCTCGGCAGTACAGTCGTTACTTTTCACACTTTCCGAGTCTTAGAATATTGGGTTTAGTGATCGAATCGGAGCTCCGAATCGGGAAATGGCAGAGCACGTTGAGAATTCGGATCCTAAAGGGGAGTCGTTGATGGAGAAGATCGCCGACAAATTTCACGGCGGTGACGATTCCTCGTCGTCATCCGATTCAGATACCGAAACGAAGAAGCCGGCAGCGAAAGAGGAGGTAGTGGCGGCGGCGGAGCCGTCATCTGTGAAGGACAAAGTTTGGAGGCTATTCGGGAGAGAAAAGCCGGTTCACAAGGTGTTCGGTGGAGGCAAACGTACGGTTCTATTGTCTGTTTTTCTACGTGCTTAATATTTTGTATGTCTATTTATTTCTAAAGACATTTTTTGGGGATTTTGTGATTGGGGAATTATAAGGGTTTTTAAGGATCTTAAAAGAATATTCTGGGGAATAAACTTGTTTTTTTTAACAGCAACTGAGGGAACAAGAGTTCAATTTCGTTCATATATTGAGTGTTCCTTTTTGCTACTGTTCATTTTTTAAAGTTAAAGAGTGGATTTTTTTGGATGGCAGTGATTGGTGGTCTGGAATTTGTAGGGTTTAGGGTTTTTGGAGGATCTTAAAGAATATTCAGATCCATATAGTTGTTATCATGCTCTTTGTTTGGAGCAAGTGAGCAAAAGTTCAAATTTTGTATTTTTTTTACTTGTTTAAAGATTGAACTTTTTAGATGTAAATGATTGGTGGTTGTTGAGTTGATGAGGATTTAGGGTTTTTTGATGGATAACAATCTTCAGGTCCAATTAACCTGTTGTCATGCTTGTAGAGGTGGTTTTAGGGTAATTGAGCAAGCAAGAGTTCAAATTTTATTTTTGAGTTAAAAGATTGTTTTCTTTAAATGAAAGATGGTGATTGAGGTCCTAAAGGATATTCAGATCCGTCTTATTATCATTCTTATATACGTTTTTGTTAAGAGCAACTGAGCTGCCGAATATCCATTTTGTTTATTCGTTTATTGAAGATTGAAATTTTTGGGGTGAAAATGATTGGTGGTTAAGGAGCTGATTACAGTTTAGGGTTTTTGAAATATCTTTAAGAATCTTCAGATTCAATAAACATGTTATCATTTGAAAAGAAGTAATAAAATTCTTGAGCTACATGTGGGTTGTTTATAGCAACTGAGTAACCATGGTTTCTTTAATTGTTCTTAGTTGAGCATCATGGTGGGTGCTTTTCATGTCTACTAGGGTTCTTCAAAGTTTTAAATTCATATCTTTTTGATCTGCGAGGTTGCTTCTGAAAACTGCTGCATATAAAGTGCTAGTTGCTGTGTCCTGTGTGCCAGATAAGTGAAGCATATTTAGTCGGGATTATGTATGAAGGTTTTCCCTTCAAGTCATGATTTTAACTTCTTATTACGTAGAGATTTGGGCTGGGAAATATTAGTTTCAAATATGCATCTGATTGTTGATGCCAACTGAATTGTGATATGAGGCATAGTTAAGTGATTGATTGAATGTGTATCTATCTGATTGTCGCAGCTGCTGATGTATTCTTGTGGAGGAACAAGAAGATATCTGCTAGTGTACTTGGTGGAGCAACCGCTATATGGGTTCTTTTCGAATTGCTTGAGTACCACCTGCTCACTTTAATCTGCCACATTTTAATCATCTCTCTTGCAGTCTTATTCTTGTGGTCAAATGCAACCACCTTTATTAACAAGTAAGCTTTTTCTAATATTAGTACTATTAACTTATGCTACAAATTATTTGATCATTTTTCTGAAGATGTTGTTCTACCATTTTGACAGGAAACCTCCACATATCCCAGAAATCCACCTTCCACAGGACCCTTTCCTTCAAGTGGCTTCTGCCCTGAGGATCGAAATCAACCGTGCTCTTGCTCTACTGCGGGAAATTGCGTCAGGGAGAGAACTGAAGAAGTTCCTTGGTGTAAGTTTTCCCAGTTCTACTAGTCTTACCCTGAATGAATTTTATTGGAATGCTTCCTGTTACTGGTGTATGTCCGATACTGCAACATTGAGCCTTCATTTATCCACCTCCCTTGAAGAGTAGATTGTTTTTTTTTTTGTCCATCCTCCTTTGATTTCACCTCAGATGTGTTGTGGTGGTCTTGGTTTTAGTTTTAGTAGATCCATGTATGTCTGTTGCTCCCCTTATTGATCCTGACTTATTAGAGAGTATTTAGGTTGTGTTATAGTTTTCTGAAGGTATCACATAACATAGTAGGATGTGGAGTTTTAGAGTACCTCTATTGTTGAGATTTTTAGCCTGTTGGATTCATGACAGCTTGGTTTGGTTAAAGCGCTCTTTGCCAAGTTTTGTGGTTTCCCCAAATTCTGGCAGCCCAAAGGATTTATTACATTAGTCTGTTGTAAATTAAGTTCTCTAAAGATTCTTGTTTCTAATTTCTTCGTCTTAAGATAATTCTTTTCTGATCTTGCATGAGCATGAATATCTTTGGTGTTTATTCACCTTTGTTTGCTTATCCATACTTGCTCATGTTACCAGGTTGTTGCCGGTTTATGGATCCTCTCTATTGTGGGTAGCTGGTGCAACTTTTTGACGCTGTTCTACATATGTAGGTTCAAAAATTTAATTGACACTGTCTTTTCTTTCCTGTGTGTTCTTTCACCCCGTGCTGATTTATTTGATGATCTTCCTGCATATGTACCAGTATTTGTGCTCCTCCACACAGTTCCTGTTCTTTATGAGAAATATGAAGATAAAGTGGATCCTTTAGCTGAGAAGGCAATGCACGAGATCAAGAAGCAATATGCTGTTTTTGATGATAAGGTTTTGAGCAAAATTCCAAGAGGACCATTGAAAGACAAGAAGAGGGAATAGATGTAGTGTGGTGCTTTGCCGCTAGAGTGCTTTGGGTAGTTGCTACCTTTTCAGAATGTGATAGTGCTTTTCTTGTACTACATGGGGCTGTGTCCCATCATACATATATTTGGGTGTTTATTAACTGATGATAGATCTAGAAACAGTTGAAGGATTAATCTATCAGGTCTGTACGAGTGAGTATTTGGCTGCAGTTTCTCAATGTGTCAGTGTCTGAGTTAAAAGCTGAATTGACATTCTGTTTCTTCCACCCCTGTTTGTACTTTTTCTTTTGTCAACGTTCGGATGTTCCAGGTCTATGATCCATAGCCGCCTGCCAGGTGTTTTGGTTACTGTTAAGTTGGTCGAGTCTAATTTGTGATATCAAGTGGAAATAACTGTTTTCTAGTTGCTTATATGAGAAATTGTGATGTTTAGGCAATGCAAGAAGAAAATGGAGTTGAAACAGTAGATCTCGATATGAGGCGTATCATAACTGGTGTTAGTCTTGTTTAAACTTAGGCTCTTCCGTTGCTGTCAATGTCCGGCGAGAAAGATAATGCAGATTTTATGTTATCTTTGGACTGCTGCTAGGGACTGCCAGCCCCTTCCAAATTATATTCTTTATTAGATTCCATCCGTCAAAGAAAAGTGAGTATGTCATTTATCAATCGTCTCTGATAAAGAACATGTAACAACAGAAAAGGATGGATCTGCACCTGCTTAGGAACAGCCATCAGCTTACCCAAGAGTCCTCATAACTACATTAAATGTTCCACAGTTCTTTTTCCTTTTCATTTTTTCCACCCTTCCATCAAGGGGTCCAGTTCCCCGTAAGGTAAACATGACTCGAGAAAATGTTCTTTTTTGAAAGAATTGATTGAACAAAAGAATTTCAATTACAACATTACAAGGAGAAGCAAAATATATACCACCTCCTATTTTTAATTACAACAATGCTGTCAGTATCTAGGTAGTCTTGAAATCTGATAATTGGTTTCCAATGGGGTAAGCGGTACTGTTGAGAACTCGGCATCGGAATGCTCAGGGGGCAAGATAACTTGCCGTGAATGTGGTGCCAAAGGGGGTAGGTTATGCTTAGGAGAAGATTGTTGTCTCGGGGAAATAAAGGTAACATCAGAACTATTTGACCTATGTTCTGCCATGGTTCCATCTGCACCCATTGCCTCCTGAAATCCCTTGATTTGATCTCCTGCATTTCCGTTGCCAGCTTCAGCAGCCTCCCTCTTCTCTCTTTCTGTCTCTTTAAGAAGAAAATCAACCCAGAGATCTGCAAAGGACTGCATGAACAGTCCAGAAGCAAAGCATAAAATGTCAAATTTATGGAAACCTATATGCCATTGGTTGCCAGCTTATTAGACTAGTAGTAAACAAGAACATGTTCGGAGAAACTAAACTAGCTCTTTGATGATATATTCGAATTCCATATACTGCCAAATAAATATGAATACCCTCCACTTCTCTCCAGCAAACAATAAAATATTCACAACATAAGCCCCTCATACAGAGAAACATTAAAACACAATGAAAAAGAGAACAAATAAGTGAAGATCAAGTAGCATGAAAATGATATGAAAGCTTACATTAATCAACTTGAAGCTGGACTTGGGGGAAAAACAAAAAACGCACACTAAAAATAGCACATCAAAAGTTAACTTACAGCCTTGCCTCAGCAAGTTGTAGGACAAAGTTCATTTCACGGTTCCATAAAGAAGAGGTTTAAACGTAAAAGTAAATTCAATTAACTTCTGTCTATTAATTCAAAATGGAGAAGTAAAGGAAATGGCAGAGACCATTTCTGGAATTTGATAAATTGGATGAATGGTAATACTAGAGCCGTGGAAAGGTAACATGCCAATGTCATCTCTGTTAGATAGCCATTCCAGGTGACAATCTCAACTTGACAGGGCATGTCATAAAGTAAAACAAAGCCACATGATTAGTGAACAAGAATTTACACGATATTTACCTGATCAGATGCCGTACTAGAAGGTGCTGAACTTCCACCCAAGATGCCACCTACTAGTCGTCCAGGGAGACCCAAGACACCCCGGACGACACCTTTACCAGATCCTTGTTGAGCCATGCCTATCCTCTGCTTATCTTCATCAGAGAATCCTAACATACGGACCATAAGATCCAAAACCTAGAAAGATGGAGAGATATAAATACATGCGTCAAACAAAAACCTTTCTCCTTCTATTTATCTTAAATTCTTCCACTATGACCAAGATGTGTTTGCTCTTAATTAAGTCTCTCAAGGTCCTCCATTACATGCATAGATGTTTCATATCTTCTTCGTTTATGCTTCCTTAATTAAAAACTTCAAATTATTATGGGGTCAGCTAGATGGAATCTTTAGTATAAAAAGTGAGTTTTCTGGTTGATTTGTCTTCTTCATTCTTTGTTTTTGCGACCAGGTGAGATTTTTGAAACGTTCAAGTCGAACAAATAACTAGCCGACAACTAGCATTAACAGGTGCAATTGGTGAAGTATTCCCCAAGCCCTCACCTGACTCAACTACTAAGCAAATGATCCTACCTCTTTGCTGTGATTCCTTTGGAAGTAAGTCACCAGTAACTTGATCACAATCCGCCTGTATATGAAAAATTTGAGGTTTAAAATATTTCAAACTATTGTAAGGTATCTAGTAAGCACTGTTACAGCAACGGTAATTTTATACTGAGTAGGAGAGAGATGACGACATAGGATAAGGGCCTTAAAATGGACAGAGAGAGCTTCTTTTCTTTGACTATGGAAAGAAGCAGGCACGATGTAGCATTTGAGGTTCAATCAGAATGTTCATGGGAGGAATGCCAAAAGTACTAATGAGGAACCTAGAATCTAAATACTGTTTCATGACCAATGCATGAAAAATCAATGTGACTTCATGAAAGTACGATGGCTAATTTCAAACTTACTAGATAAATAGCAGATTATCGATTCATATGACAGCATTCTTCCCTCTATTGCCTTGTATAATTTTTGCAGCAAAAGTAAAAGGTCTAATGATTAGAAAGTCTCCATGTACCGAACTAATAGAAGTGGTGGCAAATTTTCTGCTATAATTTTCTCAAAGTACTGGCATGATCTTCATAGATAAGGTGGTTATTTAAATAGGTGTAAGTATTATTTTATTCCCATCTCCAACTTCAGCAGAAAAAAATTGAACAGGCAAAAAGATACTGTTGACAATGATCCCACATGTGTTTTAGCTTTCATAGCTGATAATTTCAATGTTAAAATCATGAGACAAATCTCATGCAGGATACGAGATAAAAATCCAAACTTTCATGGTTAGACAATGTCTCACCTGTCAACATAATTATCAGAATCCAGTGACATCCTATTCAGCCTGGTCATGCTCTGTTCAAGAGCTCGTCGTAGCTTTTCATTGTCTTGCTCAAGCTTATTTATACGGCCCTTCCCTTCAGAAAGTCTTCTCTCCATGTCTGAAAACTTCACCAACATCTCTTCTTTCTCCTTCTTGAATGTTTCTGACTCATTGTAAGCATCCTGATGGAAGCATAAATCATCTTTAGAAAGAGCATAATAGAAAAAGTGAGCGAGAACGTTGGATCAAGTTATGCAAATGACCATGCTCCCAAATTAGCCCTAACAATGCAAAAATTACAAGCTATTGGTATGCCTATGATATTATAGGAAGTAAAAAACATATAAAGCTAAAGATCTCCTTTTTATGTTTTAATTCATGTTATATCAGATGTTTGATAAAGCACATCTTCAGTTCAAATGCTCTCCTGGGGGCAATGATATTATAGGAAGTAATGAAGCATAAAGGTTACACAACTTCACTACTAGATTAATTCATATGTTGTTCGGAGATGATACTTCAATTTTCAGTGACCATACCTGAGACAGTTGACAAACTTAAACCAACCTATGGTGTAGTTCAAACCTAGGCTTTGAATTAGAGTCCACAAGTGTGAACTTATCCTGGAATGCTTTACCAATATCCAGACACTTGCGGACTGCCTTAGTTGACAAGTTTCATACCTTGCTCAATTCTGACTGTTATGTATTCCAAGTTCAAGAGTAAGGAGGTGCCAGCCTCTATCGTTGAGGAGGTCGAACAGAAACTTGCTAGGAAGAAGAACTACTTGTCTAGGATAAAGTAATCTTGATTAAAGCTTCAGTCTCTAACCGATCAATTTCTCTCCATTTCATGGCCAGTGATAATAATTGGGAACTCTTTCTGATGGTTGAGGGAGTAAAGAAGTACCCATCTGGCCTGATGGAAGAAAACGAGGCAGCTCAACTCTTTTAGGTAGTTTTAGCATCAAGGATTTCACATTCTTTAACAGAGGTTGAAGGAGAGAATGGATTTGGCGTTTTTGCTATTGAACCTGATCATTTTTGAGGAAGCTTATCGTAAATAAAATGGCAGTGATGACTTTGATTGGTTCACAAGTCCAATTTCTTCAGCTTAAGAAGTTCTTTATGCAGGTCATCCATGAAAGTAAGATTTAATTTTCACCAGCGAATTTGCTTTAACTTGATGTTTGATGTTGTTACAGCTTTTAAAGACGGTCTTTCCTGCTATTTTCAGCATTCACATACAAGAGAACAGAAATGTGGCAGATTTTCTCACTTGAAACCATACTGGATTGTTCGATGCATTAAGATTGGGGAATGAAGCAGGTGAATGAATTGTTTCACAAAGTTGCAAAGTGTCACTATTCAGCAAGTACTGCCGATAAAATCTTCTGGAGCAGAGAAAGAGGATGTTACACCTCATGTTTTTGTACGTAAGAGTACATCGTAAGTCAATTGATGTAAGCTCATAAATGAAATCATCTTTGAAAATTTTAGTTAGTTAATCATGTTAACGTGGAGGTTACAAATATTTATGATCATGAATACCAAGTACCAAGAGGATTTGAAGGCTTAGAAGCTAAACGAATTGAAGAAAATAAGTTTCGCTGAAAGTCAATAAGTTGGGAATGTTATAACATGTACTTTTGGGGTAAGACTAGGGTGCTTAATATTATAAGGAGATTATGTTATGAGTTATTTTAGTCATATGATAATCGTGTGTTATGTTTTGAAGTCAAGCCAGTTGTGGAACAGAAGTTGGAAAAGGTCATCACAAGTTACATTCATAAATGTACTGAAAATTTGGGTCAAATATAACTGCGATTTTCTCCCAATATACTTAGAGTTATGGGGTGTTCCACCCATAAAATTGAAGCTCTATGAATCTATTTTCTAACGCATTAAACCGTTTGTCAATACAACATCGGAGTAGAGGGATATATGCGTTTTTGCGAGACCGCG